CCCCTCAGCACGACAAAGGCCGATGCGAAGTTGTTCTCGGCATCGATGGCGATGCTTCTCACCCGCAAAGTTGCTGGATACTGTCTGCTCCAGCCTCCTCAGAAGTGTTTCCGTGGTAGAGATGCCGTCGAATGTGATGGAAGCTGAAGCCTTCTTGCTCGAACACCACCTTCGCGATAGATGTGCGAGTGGACGGGTCCTGACGGACTTTGCTTCCGCCTTCCCCTCCATCGAGGTCTCCTGGGCGCTGCGGGTTCTGTGCTCCATGGGCGCTCCCCTGGGCTATGCTTGCTTCTTTCGGGCCCTTTATCAGGATAGCTCGGCTGTGTTATACCTCTTCGGGAAGACCTTTGGATCGCTCCCCATTGGGCGATGGGGTTCGGCGAGGAGACCCGAGCTCAATGCCCCTATTTCTTTTAGCCGTTGAACCGGTTCTGGCATGGGTGCAAGTGAGATTTCCAGCGCACTTATCACCCGCGCTCGCCTATGCGGGCGACTTTTTTTTTCGGTTTGCGCTGCCTGTTTGATCGCCTTGGGCCTTTCTTTGAGTGCTTGGGACTGCTGGGTAGTGCGGTGGGTCTAGCGCTCAACTTCCCGAAGTGCCAGATTGTCTTAGTATATGACCGTCTTCACCAACCTCTTCAGGACTTCCTGGATGACCTTGGGCACCCGTTTGACGTTATGGGAATCGCCAGGTGGTTGAAGTATCTTGGGATCTGGATTGGGTTTGGGGCTGAAGAAGCTGCTCTCCTGGATGCGGCAGTAGCGTACCCGTGAAATCCGTGACCTTGGCCTAGGGCTTGCCCAACCTATCGTGCTGTTCAAAACGTTCTGCGTATCCTTAGTGTACTTTGTTCTACAGCTTCACTGTCTTACCCCTGCTCTGGATAAAGTTTATTAATCTTGTGTTCGCCTCCTCTCGGCGGGCCCGAACGACGCCCTCTCGTGCGATATGTGTACTAACCTCTGTGCGCTCGGCCTTCCGGTCGAGTTCCCGAGGCTCTCTTTGGTCGCCGGCGCGACGCGTGCCAGATATATTGCTCGGTGTGATGAACTTCCTCGAGTTCGGGATCTTATCTCACGCATCTTTCTTGACGATGATTGGTGCCCGTATCGACAGTAGAGGGGCTGGTTCGTCGACAGTTTCCTCGCGAATCTCTCCGAGTTCCAAGACGCAGTTCAATCGTGTGACTTTCATCAAATATGAGCGTAAAGATGTCCAGAAGCAATATATGAAGGCGCTGAGGCGTTACCATCAAACCACCGTCCCCCCACTGGAAGCTCTTCTTCGCCGTGCATGTGCGTGGGTCCCTGGGGTCTCCATCGAGCACATTACGCGCGTGTGCATCCTGGCTAAGCCCCTGGCTAAGAGGGCTAGTATGTATCTTCCGCTGGCCAATATTCGGATTCTGTCCAGATGTCTTTGTACGAGTGCCCGTTTTCACGCTGCTCCAAGAGGCTGTATTCTTGGGTGTCCTGCTTCCTTGTCTCATCTGCCCGACCTGGATGATATGGTTCACTATTTGGTATGTCCTAGACTCCAACAACTGTTCTTCCAGTGGATGGGTTCTTGGGCTCCGAGGTCTTCTGGGTCTCCTGAGGGTTCCCCCTGGCTTCGCTCCTTCCTCCTTTTTCACGGGATGGGCACTGATCAGTGTCTTTTAAGTTCCATGTTATGTGATGCGTTCCTCAGTATGCACTCTTCAGTCAGATATTGCCTGCCTGGCTCGCCATATCAGCAATTTGAAGCTCGTCTCCGAATGCAGGCACGGAGGCATCGTGCGTGCAGACGGGTCCGGTCCAAGCTGTCTCAGATCAACCACTAACCAAGGGTGGGTTGCGCCCCTCAAAAAATATTCAAACATATCATGGGGACAATTTTCTGACAATGTTTGATCTTTCTGTTTTTTTTTTGGGGGGGGTCTTTTCAATTTTCCGCCCAAAATCCGCTTGTGCGGGGGACGCGCCCGACTTAAGATTAACCCGGGTCAGTAGATCCCCGAAACGCCCCCAAACGGCGTGCGGGGCCCAGTTGCAGCCGCCGTCAGCCGTGCGCTTCTTTGGATCCTGCTCAATGCCTTGCATCCTTCCAGGGCCCCCTTGGGGCTGCGGATCCCCAAGAGGGATCGACCATTTTGGGGGTTCGCCCTTGGCACCTCCTCCTACAGTCGGGCCGCTGGAGAAGGAACCCTTCTCGTTGGGGAGGAGCTCAGTGTTCCTCAGTTGTCCCACAGTTTGGCTAAGGTTTTCCTTAGGCTTTCTGTGGGAAGTCGAGGTTTCACTTATTGAAGATGGGTTCGCTCCTTACTTGTGACTACCTACCAGACCACCCCAAACCGACCCGAAGGCACGAATTTGACCCGAATTTCGGGTTGGGGGGGCACGGGGATTTTTTTTTTTTTTTTTTTTTTTTTTTTGTTTTTGTTTTTTTTCCCCTCCTTTCCCCCCCCCCCGATGTTCCCCGATCCCCCCCCACTGGAAATGGAGGGCAAATTGAGGCCTTCGGGTTGGGTTGGGGTGGCTTGGTGGGTGGTGAACTTGGGGTTCCTTGTGGCAGCGTATCGACTGTATCTCCAGATCTGCTTCCATTCCTCGTCCAGGGCTTTAGCGTGGCCAGCATGTCATTCAGGGGGTCCGCGCAGGCCAGGGCCTGAGCGGATCCCCTCGTTGTGCTGCATTGTTCGCTCGGCTTCGCTCCTGCTGACGGCCTGGTAACCAGACTCGCTCCTCCTCCTCCCCCTCCTCCTCCTCCTCCCCCTCCTCCCCCTTCTCCTCCCCCTCCTCCCCCTCCTCCTCCTCCTCCTCCTCCTCCCTCCTCCTGCTCCTCCTCCTCCTCCCCTCCCCCTCCTCCTCCTCCTCCTCCCCTCCTCCTCCTCCTCCTCCTCCTCCTCCTCCTCCTCCTCCTCCTCCCTCCTCCTCCTCCTCCTCCTCTCTCCCTCTCTCTCCTCCTCCTCCTCCTCCATCCTCCCCCTCCTCCCTCCCCCCTCCTCCTCCTCCTCTCCTCCTCCTCCCTCCTCCCTCCTCCTCCTCCTCCTCCTCCTCCCTCCTCCTCCTCATCCTCCTCTCCTCCTCCTCCTCCTCCTCCTCCTCCTCCTCTCCTCCTCCTCCTCCTCCTCCTCCCTCTCCTCCTCCTTCTCCCCCTCCTCCTCCTCCTCCTCCTCTCCTCCTCCTCCTCCTCCTCCTCTCCTCCTCATCCTCCTCCTCCTCCTCCTCCTCCCCTCCATCCTCCTCCTCTCCTCCCCTCCCCCTCCTCCTCTTCCTCCTCCTCCTCCTCCTCCTCCTCCTCCTCCTCCTCCTCCTCCTCGGCCTGGGTGCACCTGCCAGGCCCCGAGATTCCGTTTTCGCAGCTTTTCTCGCTCGGGTCCCTCAAGGGTGGGGGGAGCGAGGGCGCCTCCGGGCCTGCCACATCTGAGGCTCCCACATCGGGTTCTCGGGCGGCACCCCATCGTTCTTTAAACGAACACGGCTTTCTTTATTGTGGCGTTGCCTCATCCCGGCCTCGTTCTGGGGCTGGGCCCCCCCTTTCCTCGCCCAGCTCTGGTTAATTCAAGCTTCGCGCTGCCCGCTTAGCTTCGACCAGAAGAGGTGCGCTCTCGACCCGCGAATCAAAAAAGTTTATTGTGGCCTGGACGGCCTCACTTGATGTCTCCCCGAAGCTTTCAGCACACGAGATCCCGAGGCTGCGGTCCCCAACTCTTGTGATCAGCCTGAAGGGAGCTCCTCGACCTTCCTAGCCTCCGCTCGTGCTTCACCACAATCTGGCACTTGCCCACGAGCTCGAGCCTGGCGAGGCTGCAGAACCTGGGAACAGGCTGACTCAGCTTGATCGGGCGAACACTCCGAGCCAGAGGAGCGTCTCTGGCTTGTCCAGGACGCGCGTTGCCAGCCCGATGGGGCGGCTCGGGTGCCAGACCCACCGGCAGATCATCCGTGGGTGGCCTCGTTTTCGCAGGAACGCGGAGTTGGGCCAGATGCGACCCAGACGCTGCTAGCTTTAAGCCGGACGTGTCCCTCTACAGGAGGACTATCCCAAAACAATCAACACACAATTAGTCTGGGGACGTTTTTTGTTCGACTATTTCTGGATTATGTTTGAACATTGTCTGATTTCTTAATGTTATGTTAGTGCGTGCACGGGAATGATGTGAAAAGGTTTTTTGGGTGCCGTGTCCAGGCTTGATTCCCACGTGTTGCCCCCCGCAACCGATGGGGCTCAAGCATCAAAAGGCAGGGGTTCTTGCTCGATGGCATGCACGCCATCCCTCAGGAGGGAAAAAAACACACAGACACAATTAATTGGCGATCCCCCAGAAAATATGGGAAAATATGGGAAGTGGAGGGGAAGACAAAAACCAAGAACATATAGGAAAATATGGGGAATCTTTTTATTTGTGTGTATTTATTTGTGTGTCCCAGGGCCTCTTTAATCCCAGGCTGCTCTGCTTGCCTGGATCGCCGTGGCAGCCCCCTCGCTCTCTGGCCGGCTGGCTGGCAGCGCTGCCGGGCGCGGCGCGCCGGCGGCCCCAGGCCTCGCGGGGCCCGCCGAGTGGTGCTGGGAGCCTCCGCTGTGGGACTGCTCCTGTTCGTGTACACCTCAGGCGATGCTTAAGAAAACTTAAGTTTTCGGCCAGAGTCTCGATTATTCTTAATGTTTCCATGTAAATCCCAAGATTTTGATAGAAATGTTGGGTTTTTATTCAATTTCTGAGACTATGAATTTCGTCACCCATGATTTCTTAAGCATTTCGCAGGGTGTACCTGTCCCTCGACGGCGACCCCCGAGCCGCCGCCGCCCCCGCCTTCGGGGCCGCCAGCGCCTCCGGCGCCGGGCCTTGCCGTGGCGCGCGACGCGCTCTGGCCTGTGGCCGTCGGGCTCGCCGGCTCGGGGGGCGTCGCGCTTGTGAGCTGTTTCGGGTTCGGCCTCTTCGAGATCATCCTCGTGCTGTGCTGTTGTCGTCGAGGCGGCCAGACCGAGCTCCCTCAGCGGCGTGTGATTCACAATGGAGCCCGACTGGGTGCCGGGGACGCAGCTGCTCGTGTCGTTCGTCAGTGATCCTGGCTTCAGACACGAGCGTGTCATTGTCTGGCCGTGCCACGAGGACTCGTGGGTCGTGTACACCGGGGGCGGCGATCTGTATGTGGAGGAGGAGAAGGATTCGTCGAAGGTGTACCTCATGACGGCTGGTCAGCCGCCCAGGTCGTTGCCAGACGATGGGGCCAAGGTGGTGCAGTTCGCGAGGTTCCCGACGGATGACGAGCTGAGGGGTCTCATCGTGGAGGCGCGCTCGGAGGTGACGGCGCTGCGGCGGGCCGAGCCCGATCGTGTCGTGCCGCCAGACCCCCTCTACTTTCTGTCGGAGGACGGTCGGCGCTACCCGCTCGTACGCCACCGGCTGCAGGGCAAGCAGGTCGGCCGTGCTGCCCCGCTGGGCGATGCGGCGGCCGCCGACGGGGGCGCGGGCGCGCCACCGCCGCTGGCGGCTGGCCCAGGTAGCTCGGCGGACCAGAAGGACGGGGCCATGGTCGGCGGCGATCAGGCGCATCGCTGGGTCATCAGCGAGCCCGGCCTCGTCTGGGAGCTGGGCACACTGGTGGCGCACGGACGGGTGAGGGCGAGGCTGGACGATCGCGGCGTGGCTGACATCAACGGGAATGCGGTCCTTGTTCAGCTCGTGCCCGAGGAGGAGGTCGGGGACTACGCAGCAATGAAGGCCTCTGCTTTCGAGCTCGCGATTCGAGATGCCAGCGGTGTGCCCACCGAATTCGGTCGCCGCGTCGGCATCGTGCCGACCGAGGAGCGCGGCGCGGCGACGCCGGTCCCAGCGGCTGCCGAGGCGCCCGAGGAGCCGGGCGACGTCCGCACTCTCTGGGTGGACACCGACGCTCAGGGCATCCGATTCAAATCGTGGCGCAATGTGGTGATCGAGAGCTACCCCACCGTGTGGACCGACAGCCCGATCGAGGGGCCGTCCAGCCTGATGTACATTCTCAGGCACTCCGACCGCCACGGGGGCAACGTCCGGATGTGGCTCGACATCTGGGCCCGCTCGAAGAACATCGGGCCCGGCGAGCGCGTGCATCACGAGCTGTCCGTTCTCTGCGAGGTGATATACGTCGGGGGCACCTGCGACCAGCTCAACATGCCGTCGTTGGTGAGCTTCGGAGTCATCGCCCGCCGCATCCAGAGCATCGTCGACGCATACTCGGTAGATCCCTCTCGGCCTCAGTGGGCCAATGCGAGGCTGTACTCCAGCGTCTGCTCGGCCGTCGACATGCTCTCGCCCGAGCTCAAGCACTGCGTCGCCAAGAGGGCCAAGGATGGGGCAAGGACGAGGCTGAGGTCGAGTCCATGCGTGCTCGTGGCCGCAACTTGCCAGTGGCTGCCGACGCCGTCGCTGCTGGTGGTCTTCCTGCCGCTGGACGCGGCGCCCCTGTCGCTGCCGCGGCGGGCCGACCTCCGAAAGGACAGGGCCTTGGAGCCTCGAAGGGAGGTAAGGGCGCCGCCGCCGCGGCGGAGACCCAATGAGAAATATCACCCTCGGCGGTGGGACTGGCCCGCCTGCTGCCGTTCTCCTTCCTGGGCCTGCGCATGGATCCGCGGAGATGCCCCCATTGCCCGACGACCCTTCCTTCGTCGAGGACTTCTGGATCCACCTTCGGGGGCGTGCCCAGCGCAGGTTCGTGAGGGGCTGGCGGCAGTGTGTGCGCTCGCTTAATTGGTTGTGGGGTGCTGGACATCGCGAACTGGGAGTTCGTGCTCATCGCGACGTTCATCCATACCGACGTCAACTTCAACAGGAGGTACTGGAGCGGGATCCAGACCTACTCAGATCCCCCCATCCGACCTTGCACCGAAGGAGGCCTTCCAGGGTCCACTTCGAGGCCGCGGCGTCTACGACGCCGAGACGGCCTACACTACCCTGCCAACGGGGCGCGGTATCTCTCCCCAGTGACGTCTCGTCGGCCCCGGCCGTGGGATCATTGGTCACGGGGCGCGCCCTCGAGTACCTGGTAGAGGCAGAGGGGCAGATGATCAGGGCCGATGCTGAGACCCAGCTTGACCGTGAGACAAATGGCGAAATCGAGATTTTCACCGACCCGCTGCTCGCAAACAGCCGGCGGCGCTATTCCACGTTCGTGAAGGACTTGAGGCGCAAGGGGCTGGCGGGCTTCACTCGCGAACCCACGGAGTTCGTGGGTGTGTTCTTTGTATGGGGGAAGGAGCGCGCCTCCATGGGGATGGCGATCGACTGTCGCCGCTCGAACCAGCGATTTGTTACCCCGCCTGGCGTGGATCTACTGTCAACTGAAGGACTTGGGCGGATCGAGTGCGAGGCGGAGAAGGCCGACGCGTTGCCCATCTTTTTGGGCAAAGCTGACGTGAAGGACTGTTTCCACCGCGTGCTGTTCGGCAGTCACCTGTCCAAGTACTTCTGCTACCCGGGGGGGATGGCCAAGGAGTTTTGGCATCGTCGGCCAGACCGTGGACGGGGTCCCGGCGCGGGCGGAGGACTACCTCTGGCCTTGCGCCCTTGCGCTCCCCATGGGCTGGACGTGGTCACTATGCTTTGCCAAAGTTGCCAACCTGGGCATGGTGGAGAGGGCGCCCGCCGTCGCGTCGAGCCGCGTGGCAACCGACCGCGGGCCCCCTATCGTGCTGGCGCCCTCCTCTTCTTGGCACTACGTCTATGTGGACAACGTGGGGCTCCTCTCGTTGGATGCCGCCTGCGTCAAGGGGGCGCTCGCGGACGCCACCGAGGCCTTTGATGCCGCGGGCCTCATCATGCATGACATCTCAGTGGCCTGCGAGACCGCCGAGGCGCTAGGTGTGACTCTGGATGGCCAGAAGCGCCAGACCCTCGTCACTCATCGCCGCTACTGGAAGGTTCGACTTGGGCTCCGGCGGGCCCTCTCCCTGCGCCGTCTGGCAGGGAGGGGGCTCGAGGTTCTGCTCGGCCACTGCGCGTTCGTCGGCCTCATGTGCCGGGAGACGCTGTCCGCGTGGCACGCCGTGTGCACCTTCATCCGCGAGCGGTACTGGGCAAAGAGCGACGTGTGGGACTCCGCGCGCCGCGAGCTCGAGTGCTTCCTTGGGCTGATGCCGCTCCTGCGTTCTGAGTGGGATCGGCCGTGGCTCCCGCAGGTACTTTCGGTGGGCGCCAGCCTGCGCGGCTGGGGGATCGCTAGCTCCAGGCTCGGGGCGTCGGCTGCCAACAAACAAGGAAGAATGCTGGGGCGCTCTCGGTTCCGTCGTCCCGGAGGGCTACCTGCTCGCGCTAGCGCCCTTGCTGCGGCTGGCTTCGCATGCTCAGCTGCCGCCGATCGTTGGGGGGTCGACGGCGGGAAGGAACGGGGCCCCTCGGACGTTCAGGAGGCCGGGGTCTGGGAGATGCGCGAGGATTTCCCTGAGATCCCCGGGGGCCTCCTTCGCGGGGATTGGTGGCGTCTGATTTTGCATGGTAAGTGGGCCTACTCCGAGGATATCCAGATTCTCGAGGCCCGCGTCCTGGTCAAAGCTGTCGCAAGAGTTTGTAACTGTGTTCCTGGTGGTTTTTTCAAGAGTATTGTTATTGGGAGATAATATGTCAGCCATTCTTGCTTGTGAAAGGTTTCGGGCCCGCAGCTTCGGGCTCCTGGTACAGATTCGACGTATTGCGGCCTGCGCGCTGGCCCGGGGAGTTCGATTTGGCTTCAGGTGGCACCCTTCTGAGCTGAACAGTAGCGACGCGGGGTCCCGCATCTATGATCCCAACTACGACGCCACGAAGGATCTCACCCGCCTGGTGGCTGACGGACGCGGACCCGACGACGTCCTGCCTCAGCCTGTGGATCGACCTCTACCCGAGGGCGTACCGGCTCAAGCGCTCACGGCTCGGGCTTCGCCCGACCCCTCTTCTTGCGATCTACTTCACGACTGCAATGAAGCGGGCCCGCAACCTGGAGGCGTCGAACCGCGCGCCCGCGAGGGAGGAGAGCCGACGAACTACCCTGAGAGCGAGCCCGGGCTCGACTTCGCGTCCGCCTGCAGCGTTCTCGAGGCCGACGAAACGCAGGATTCTCTGCCGACCGAAAATACGCTCCGTGCTGGAGTCCAGCGAGTCTCTCCTCTCGATGGGTTGCCTGGAGACCCTAGTCGACGAGGGGCTCGCGCGGGCTACAGCAGCTGTCGCGGCCGCTGCCGCCGCCGCGGCCGCCGACGAGGACAGCGATGGCACTACTTCGGCCGACGAGATGGAACGATCGGTGACGGCTCGCTCTCCAGAGCGCCCTCGCGCGGGAGTCAGCAAGATGCCTCGCGCGTGGTGGCGCGCCATCGCCGTGGAGTTCGCGAGGCGCAGGATGGTGGCCGTGGGGCTCGCGATCATGATCGGCGTCAGCTGCTACCTCAGGCCCTCGAGGCTGCTCAACCTTGCGTCCAGCAACCTGGTGGCTCCGACGTCGCGCGCGTCGCGGTGCTGGATCCTCCTTTTGCATCCTTCGGAAGAGGATGACAGGAGCAAGTCAGGCGGTGCAGACGACTTGCCGAGTATCCACTTTCAGTGCATGCTGCCGTGGGTCACCGACATCCTCCAGGCCTTGAGGGGGAAGGGCGGCCAGCTGTGGTCGTTCGACTATTTTGTCCTTCTTAGAGGTTCAAGACTGGCGAAGGTGCTCGGCGTTTACCGCTTGGTGCCATACCAAATGAGGCACTCGGGCCTGTCGATCGACCGCCTGGTACCTTGCCGCAGACAAGTGTCAGAAGCGAGGTCGGTGGAACAACTGGAAAAGCCTCGACCGCTACGAGGAGAGCGCCCACCTCAGCAGCTTCTTGTACGAACCTCCCGTGGAGATGCTGGCACGCATGCATCTGTGCGAGGATCAGTTCGTCGAGTTCCTCTTGTCGCCCGAGCATGCCCCAAGGCCGCCGCCCGCCCGCGCCTAGCCAAAGATGGGACGTATATGGCCGACCTCTTTTCAGGGGCAGGCAAAGTCGGGCGGGCGGTCGTGCGCATGGGGTTTTCAGCCAAGGCATGGGATATCATCCATGGTGCCAATCATGACATTACCGACCCAACCGTGATCCGTCTGCTGCTTTCTGACATCCGTCACAAAAAGGTGTTTGCCGCTAGGATTGCACTACCTTGTGCATCGTTGACTATCGCACGCGACAGGACTTTTCAGATTCGGTCTCGCACTGAGCCATGGGGTACTGATCTTACCAATGCTACTGACCGCGATCGAGCCTCGCTCGAAATCGGCAACAAGATAATTCGTGCTGTCCTTAGCATTCTTCGTCGTCTTAATCGACATAAGGTTCCTTGGATTATTGAAATCCTTCGACTTCGCGTTTGTGGTTCGTTCCCGAGATCCTTGCGCTCTGTAATCATGCCCGAACTGAATGGAAGCTTACTGATTTTTGTCCGTGGGGGACACCGTGGCGGAAACGAACGTGGCTGGCTTGTGGCAACATGAGTTCTGAGGACACAGCCAACTTGAACAGAGTCTGTGGTGGAAAAGCTGAGCATAATGTTCTCTGGGCCTCTATTGCCCAGCCTTGCCCTTCCCGCCTTGCCACGGCCCTCGGTGAAGCTCTCGCTGCTAGCAAGCGCGCCTCCTGCTCTTTCAATTCGGGCGGCCCTGTCCGTACCGGGGCCCAATGAGGCTCAATCTTGGGCGCTTTCGTTTTCCCCTCCTCTCTTCCCCTCCTTCGCCCCTGGTGAACTCTTATCAATTCGGGAAATTTGGAATGATCAGGACGTGTGGTTCTAACGATTTCACGCTTTCCCAGCTGTGCGTGTAACCCTGTCAGATAGTAGCAGACGTTCTCCGCTGGAAAACACGGCCTCATGATGTTAGTGCGTGCGCGGGAATGATGTGAACAGGTTTTTTGGTTGTCGTGTCCAGGCTTGATTCCCACGTGTTGCTCTCCGCAACCGATTGGGCTCAAGCATCAAAAGGCACCCTCCCTTTCGAACTTTTCGTTCTCCCTCCCTCTTTTTCTTTTCACTTTGCAGAATGATCAGGACGTGTGGTTCTAACGATCTCACACGGTCCCAGCTGTGCGTGTAACTCTGTCAGATAGTAGCAGACGTTCTCCGCTGGAAAAACACGGTCTCATTATTGTTGTTTCATTTTTCGTCCCAAATCCGCCTGCAGGAGGACATGCCCGACCTTATGCCAGCTTCACAAGGTAGTGAGCCGATAACTCGGTCTCAGTCCTGCCACCGATCCAAAGTCCGCGCAGACCTCCGCAAGTTTATGTTTAAGAAGATGTTTCTTCTCCCAGTTCTCCCAGTTCTTGGTCGTTGTGCTTCACATTCCTCCCTCTTCCTGCCCTGTCCCCGCTCTCTTCTCCATCTCGCCCTCTCATGCTCCTCTCTCCTCCTCCTCCTCCTCCTCCTCCTCCTCCTCCTCTGCCTGCTCCTCCTCCTCCCTCTCCTCCTCCTCCTCTCCCTCCTCCTCCTCTTCCTGCTCCTCTCCCTCCTCCCTCCTCCTCCTCCTCCTCCTCCTTTTCCTTACTATTCTGTATTTTTGCGCCTCGTGCATGTCCAGGTATTTGATTTAATCGCTTCGCTCATTGCGCAGTCCCATTTCGCATCACAGTAGCTGCGTGGTGGTGTGCTCGTGCCCAGGGGGAACGGCAGGGTATACCCTGCCTCTCCCAAAATCTCCTCGAAGACCATCCTGCCTATAGGCAGGATGGTCTTCGAGGAGATTTTGGGAGATGTGGCTCGCACCCTGTCGAAGATTGCCGAGACACTACCCCAGAGGGCGCCATGATCGCTCAAGAGAGCTCCAACTGAGTTTCGAGACGCACATGGCTTGTGGGTCAAAGTTCTCATGGATGCTTCTTGAGGTCTTTTCTGAGGGAGCCTCTGGGAAACAGTTTTGAGGCCTCTGGGGAGCCTCTTGGGGGCTTCTCGGGGGCCTCTTGGGGCTGGGGGCCTGTTGGGAGTCTTGGGAGCTTCTTTTGTGGCCTCTTGTGGCCCCTTGTGGCCTCTTGGGGGCCTCTGGGGGCTTCCTGAGCGCCTCTTGCGGCCGAGAGCTCAAAATGTCTGGTGGGCTTCCCCCTCTCTGGGCTCCCTCTTGGGGCCATCCTGGGCCGCCTGGGGGCCATCTTGGGCCATTTGGGGGCTCCCTTGGTGGAGGCTTTTTTGGGCCGTCTTGGAGCGACATTGGGGCCTCTAGGGCCGTCCAGGGCGGTTGGCAGCTCGAAAAGGCGGAACCGCCAAATCGTCAACAGCAAAATCGATGATTGTTGCGTCTACGGGGCCTCTCGAAGTCTTCTTGGAACCCTCCTGTGGCGTCTTGGGCGCTTCTTGGTCTGTCTTGGGACCAACGTGGGCCATCTTTAGGGAAACAAGAAGTGGCATAAGCATAACAACTCGGAGGTCCGCGCGGATTTCTCGGACCGGCGCTGGGGCCCTCTGGCGCGCTCCACGCGCCAGGGAGGGGGTCCAGCGCCGATCCGAGAAATTCGCGCGGACCTCCGAGCTTTTGTGTTTATACCATTTTTGGTT